GAATGTGCTGAAATGAGTAAATTGACATTTGAAATTAGAGAACAAGAAGATAAACAATATTATTTGATATGGGATTTATTTTATCAATGGCTAGATAAGAAATGAAATATGAAATGAATGTTATAAATATAATATTGAAAATATTTTTTTTGAAGCGGTAAAGCCATAGTTAAATAAATGATAAATGAGGATGTTTATTAGTTTGACAATATGAGAAATTAGATAACTAGTAAATTCTGAATGTAGAGATGAAGCACAAAAGATTTGTAACCAACCGACACACTGTTTGCAATTGTAATGGATGATGGATTTATTTTATGTTTTGTTTTAAAAAAAAAATTCAAAAAAAAGAGAGGTGCCCTTGACAGGGACACAACTCTGGAACACTGCCAGATAGGAAGTTCTGGGCGGTGGAAGATGTCCTGGAACCCCAGGAACGCCTAACACACTGCTGGCAGCCTAACGGAGCTAAAAACCACTCCTACCAAAGGGATGCGCAGCTGCCTTTGGAAAACTCAATAAAATCTTTCTCTGTCCAATTTTTATAATCCAGCATGGAAATCTGACAAACTATTTGCCAGAGAGAAACACTCAGGTCTCATCAGATAGACTGAGTGAAAAAGACTGAAGACAACGGAGCACAGGAGGCGTGGTCAAGGATTTGAAAAAAATTACACTCAGTCTCAAGCAAATAGATGAGAGATTAACCCATGCATGGATTATCGGAGCAGCGCTTCTGGAAAAATGTGGAGGCACCTGAATAGAATCAAGACAGGCTATGCCAGAACTAGGGTAAAGCTCTTTAAATGGGAAATGTGATGGTGATGCACTGGAACAAATGATAGCTTGAGAATGTCTCCTCAGGAAATTTTAAGGCACCTGGAATTACCTCATCACAGTCACAACAGAAACAGTTAGATAGTTAGCTTTCCTAATTACTGAACTATAACAGCTATCCTCTATGGCCCCATATTATGGTGATTTTACTATGGGTTTACCCTAATATTTTATCTCATCTGTTATATTTTCCACACACTTTTCACAATATGCTGATGCTTTATTCAAACTTAAATTTGTATTTGTAAGAATGATGTATTTTATTTGTAGTGTATATCAGTGATTGCATGAGCTCTGTAGATGCCATATGCTAAATAAAATAAATAACTCACATGTATTAAAATTGTCCTTTCTGTCTCTCCTTCCTCCCAGTTTTAGGCTGAACAAGTTGCTCTAAAAGTGTCACTATATCACTTCTAATGAGTTCCTAAAAAGGTAATGAATTCCTTAAAATTTAAATCAGCTTTGTTAAAAGCAGACAGCATTGATGACTAAAAAAGACAAATGAAGTAATAGTAATAATGATAAGAATCCAAGGTGCAATAAGCAGTAAAGTTGAAACAAATTTCAGCATAACATCTGAAAAAGCAGGCACAGGTTGCTTACCTGTTATATTAGCTTGATCTATGGAAACAACACCTTCCTGAATTTGTTCATATGAACATAGTAGCCATTGACATTCTATCACTAACCATTTCCTTGACCTAATGAAGCTCCTCAACCAGGCTATGTACTGTCATCTATGTGATAAACATCAACATCTGATTATACATCTTTGGGCCTACATATCCAATGTAGATTTTTGTATGGTGTTTTGTTTGATCACATCGTTTGACAGTTCTTAAATTCTCATTTATGAACTAGAAATTCTTATCCATAATAGTGACAGTTAAAGTGAAATGAAGCTAGTAGATTCCAGGAATCAATGCCTCACTACATAAGAGTACATATTGCCAATTACATTATTGCCATCTTAGAAACTTCACTAGATTCTTCCCAGGAGGCATGCTGAACTATACATCTGAATAGTCAGGAGCCTGTTTCCATCATTAAGGAATATATGGGGACTGTATAACAATAAGAAGTTTCATGTCTTTATTTTTCCATTCTTTTTTCTTTTTTTTAATTATTATTATTATTACAAGCTTAAAGGCAGAGGTCGATGATGCATAAAGTTTCAACACTGTTGCCCTATATGTTTTTAAACATGTGGATCCATTTCAATTAACAAATAGAAGGAGTTAATAAAAAGAATAAAATAAAAACCATGCTGGTAATTTTATTTAATATTTGTAGATTTCATGTTAGTATTTCAGCAAGGATTTCCTCCTATTTTGTCAAGCATTCTGTATAATACAGGGTTGGTTCTAACATCAATTACTATGAATTGATTCTGCAGAGAGAATGTACTAGCTGAAGAGTATGTGCTGACATTTTATGTAAATACTAGTTTTTTAGACAATGGAACATATTCGCCTGGAGGAACACAAAAATCATTGTGAACACTACGACCCGCCACGCTCATGACTTGCAGTCCACAAGCAATTCTATCTGTTGATTGATGTACAACCAGCCTACGAACCCCTCAGAATCCAAATCAACCGCATAGCCAACCAGAGACAGTACTGACCCATACAACACCCACGAGCAGTTCAATGACTCTGACCTGATGTAACCTCCTTATCATCACAAGATTCACTGATGACTCACACCTGACCCATCACAAGACCCTCACTTGACACACCCACATCTGAAGCCCTTATAAACAGAAGAACACTGACATCCCCTAAACTTCCCTGAAGATGTTACCTAGCCTGGTAACGAAACTTTCGGAAACAAACAGACAAGCTCAGAGGTTGAACCTTCACCCTCAATTGAACATATCCTAGAAAATGAACACTGAGCCAACACTAAATAAAAGTGGCATTAACTAAGAAAACTGGAAGACAATCTAATGAAATAACTGGGAATACATCAGCAGAATATGTAGGGGAAAAAATGCATAGGCAAAAAGAACCAATCCTAAAGGAAGACTAAAGATGAAAGCATGGTTAATAGTAGTACAAAAGGGGGAAGCAATGTGATTTAGGAGCTATAGTGAGCTGGCTCAGAATTCTGATGAGTCATTACAGAGGGGTGTCCGTGATGCAAGGGAATATCTGACATATATCTGAGAGAAGGAATCACTGTATCTAGAAATCTGCATGCATAATTCTTAGGATGAATGTAAATGGGGAATAAACAATGGTTTTGGATTTTTTAAAAAAATGTTTTTGAAGAGACCAAGTATTATATATATTTCTTGTATTTCAAGAGGGCAATGGCACATCTCAAATTATTCTTCTCTACCTCAACTGCAACATGTTTAGCAATAACTAAGCAGTTCTTTATCTCTGTTTCTTTCATTCGTTTGTTCAATTTATACAGTTACACATCTCACACTTTAGCAATAATGTTATTTATTTATATTTCATATTTTTTAATCACTCATCTCTATCAGAGAGGGGCTCTTTATTTACCCAAGTTATTAAGGACTGTCTATGTGTCATAATTAATTCCAACATATATATTTCTTATTTGAGAAAAAAGGAATCATGAATATTGTGCTTCAAGAATGATAAGGATAGTTCACATCACAAAATGACAGCAATAGTAGTGGATTCCCCTTGTCTCTGCTTTTCCCCCTCACAAATATTTTTATTATTATTCAAACTGGCATGAAAGTTTATTCCTTTCTGAGCACTAGAAAAGTTGTAGGAAATTGCTTCCTTTCATCCTTGTCTTTCAGAATTCCTTTTGGATCTCATCAATCATAATCAGAAGACTTTGATGAGAAGTCCCAATTACAAACAGAAGTTACTACTCTTAAGTAACGTGTACTGTTAGGATATGGTTTGAGCCTAACAGTTGTCCAGGCAATATATGTGTACTGTAACTTTAATCTGTAAATGTATTATGTTACTTTAAAGGTATTCATTATAATGCTGAGTCATGCTGTAATTAGGTAATGACTGGTTGTGAGAGTATTTAAGCAAGGTATTGTAACATGTTCAGTTGCTGCTATGATATGCTGCCATTGATGATGAAGCTGCTATGATATGCTGCCACTGATGATGAAGCTGCTATGATAAGCTACCATTGAGAGGGGTTGTTATCTGCTAATCATCGTTTGATGGAATCTGCTACCATCGTTTGTGAACCAGAGTGAGTTTGTTATTCTAACCAACTAATGTTTGTTTGGTAAGAAGATTCTGTAACTACTGGACTGATTTAACTGGCAAAGACTTGGAATTTGTTTAAAGACTATGAGACTGTTTTTCTACTATAAAGTAAGCTTTTGATAAACCAGTTTGCATATCTCTTATTCATCGCTCTCACCAACGTTTCCTTGTATATTTACTCTGCTGGTTGGTAACACAACACCAATATCCTTAACATGTACCAAGGATATTTCTGAAGTTGTTTAGTTTGTATGATTTCTAATTCCTTGAAGATTTCTACTCTTTTATTTATTCATTATTTATTTAGTTTAAGTACATATGCTGTACCTTTTAAGGAAATAATGCTCCCAAAGCAATTTGTAAGCAATAGAGAACATTATAAAAAACAGTTCATGACTCAAAGCAATAATACATAACTATATACATCCAGACCAAAACAGTTTCATACCTAAAAGACAAATAAAGAATAATTTGAGAATGATTATAGATATTCTGGAATATTATGATCAGAAGATAGACAGAGAAATGGCCATAATCTCCCTTGATGCCCAGAACGCCTTCGACAATTTGAATCGGTCCTTTTTCATAAAACAACTTGAACTAATGAACTGTGGAGAGAAATTTCATAACCTGATTAAAAAAATTTATTCCCAACAAACAGCAAAAATCTCAATAAACGGTGACATGACACAAATTTTTGATATTCAGAAAGGAGTACGACAAGGATGTCCCATGTCACCGCTAATATTTATAATAGCATTGGAGGTATTATTAAACGAAATAAGGAACGAGGAAGAAATCAAAGGACTCAAGATCCGGGGAGGGGAGTACAAATTGCTCACCTTTGCAGACGACGTAATTTTCAACTTGGAAAACCCAAGACGATCTGGACCCAGACTGATGTCGATGATAGAACAATACGGGGAAGTCGCGAGCCTCAAAATAAACAAACAAAAAACAAAAATAATGACAAAAAATATGACCCAGACTCAGAGATTGGAATTAGAAGAAGAATTAGGAATCCAATTAGTAAAGAAGATAAAATATTTAGGTATTTGGCTGACGGCGAAAGCAACCACGATCAAAGAAGACAATTACACGAAATTACTAAAAGAAATTAAAAAAGACCTGGAAATCTGGAATAGGCTACAATTGTCATTGATGGGCAGAATCAGTTCAATTAAAATGAATATATTACCGAGGGTACTATATCTATACCAGGTAGTACCATTACATCCAGGAAGGGACTTCTTCAAAAATCTCAACAAAATTACAATGATCTACATATGGCAGGGAAAGAAGGCTAGAATTAAGATTAAAGCGCTACAAGACACACGAGACAGAGGAGGCCTCGCAGTACCAGACTGGGAGCTATATTATAAAGTAGCCGGATTGACCTGGATCAAAGAATGGATGAGATTAGATGACAAAAGAATGTTATATCTAGAAGGCTTTGATCTCATTCGAGGATGGCACGTGTTCCTATGGGATGGACCGGACAAACAACACATGTACTTCCAAAGACACATAATTCGGGCCTCACTCTTCAAGATTTGGCAGGGAATTAAGAAAACCTATTATACTAAAATACCAAAATGGTGGTCCCCGATGGAGGCATTGATATTTCCAAATACCCTTGAAATCGGAAAGATTATGAGATACCAAGATTTACTGAATCATGAAGGAGAACTTACTCCAAGACATCAACTCCAAAATGGCGATATAAATATTGATTGGTGGCACTATACTCAAATATACTCAAGATACAAGGCGGATAAAATCAAATATGGAATTGCAAAAGATCTGAACGGACTGGACAGAATTTTATTAGGAGCAGACCAGAAAATGATTACTAAAACATATAACTACCTTTTGAGAGACAAATTAATAGAAGAAACAGTTAAACATAATATGACAATGTGGGCCAGGGACATAGGACATAATATTCAATTGGCTGACTGGGAGAAATTATGGAAGCAGAACATTAAAATGACAAGAGCCACATCTTACAAGGAGAACCTCATTAAAATGTTTTATAGATGGCACTTACCACCAGCCCGACTTGCCAAAATATACCCAAACACTTCGGCGTTGTGTTGGAAATGTAAATTAAAAAAGGGAACATATTATCACACTTGGTGGAAATGTAGGAAAGCCCAACACTATTGGCAAGATATAAAAAATATTATTGAAGAAATAACGAACATTCAAATAGAAAACAGTCCAGAATTTTTCCTATTTGGCATGATAACGGCAGAACATCTTAAGGAAACGAAGTATCTCATCACACATATCTTGACAGCAGCAAGACTACTGTTCGCCCAAAACTGGAAATCAGACCAACTCCCATCCAAAGACAAAATCATTGCAAAGATAACAGAGTGTGCTGAAATGGACAGATTGACGCTGGAACTCCAGGAAAAGGAAGAAAGCGAATACTATCTTGTATGGCACCAATGGTATCAATGGCTGGAAAGGAAAATCAGCAAAAATGTAGAGGACAGAAATTAGCGTAAAGACTTTCACAAGGAGATGAACCCATAAGAAATGTAAATTTGTAGTGAAAAGTTATAACATTGGAATTAGACATTTAATAACTACTCTTTATTAAACTATATAAGCTCAATAACATATATTCTGTTGATGACAAAAGCGTAAATGTAAAATGTTAGGTGGGTTTGTAGGTGGTGGTTTTTTTGTTTGTCTTTGTATTGTATTGTATTGAATAAAAAAAATATAAAAAACAGTTCATTAAATATATATCAATAAACTTCTAGAGTTCCTCCTACATGTTGGTAATAATCCATGATAGCAAAAATGAGTCGAAGAAAACAACATCTGAGGTTATTGTTGTCTATTTTCTTGCTTTTTTCTTCAGGGATCCTTCCTATAAAACAAATTGCAATAGGCAACATTTCTATTGTAGCCATGCTTCACCTTGTTATAGCTCTGAACACCAATCGATATTTCAAAAGGATTGTTAGGCAGAAAATGTGAGCAAATGAGGCTTATTGAAAACACAGGAATTTGGCACTTTAGTTTGGCTTGATTCCAAACATACCTTGTTACTCTGGTAAGTTTCTCTTTTTAAAAATATAAACTGGTCACTGGAGTCGTTCTCCTATTTATTTTATTTTATTTATTTATTTTGTCGCATTTCTATGCCGCCCAACTCCCGAGGGACTCTGGGCAGCTTACAACAGAGAATAAAACAATACAACAATATCCCATACAAAAGTTAAAAGAAGACATTAAAACGTTAAAACGTTAAAACACATACACTCCAATTTGTGGCCGGGTCTCGAAAGATCACTATAACGAGATCAACGGCTCCAGGCCTGCCAGAAGAGCCAGGTCTTCACCACTTTCCAGAAGGCCAATAGGGTGGGGGCAGTCCGGACTTCAGGAGGTAATTGGTTCCAGAGAGCCAGGGCAGCCACAGAGAAGGCCCTCCCTTGTGGCCCCGCCAGCCGACATTGTTTAACTGACAGGACCTGGAGGAGATCGACTCTGTGGAATCTTACTGGTTGCTGGGAGCTATGTGGTAGAAGGCAGTCTCGAAGATAGCCTTGTCCTGAGCCATGTAGGGCTTTAAAGGTAATAACCAACCTTGAACTGTGCCCGGAGTCCGATAGGGAGCCAGTGCAGCTCACGGAGAATTGGTGTAATGTGGGTGTATCTAGGTGCACCCAGTATAACTCGCGTGGCTGCATTCTGGACCAACTGTAGTCTCTGAACACTTTTCAAGGGTAACCCCATGTAGAGCGTGTTGCAATAGTCCAACCGTGAGGTGACAAGGGCATGAGTGACTGTGAGGAGAGCTTCCTGATCCAAGTAGGGTCGCAATTGGTGCACCAGACAAACCTGTGCAAAGGTCCCGCTAGCTACAGCTGTCAGAAGTTGTTCCAATCTCAGCCGTGAGTCTGGAAGGACACCCAAATTGCGACCCGTTCTGAGGGGGACACTTTTTCTCCCCCCAGAACCAAGGATGGACAATTGATATAGTCTTTAGGGGGCAATACCCAGAGCCATTCGGTCTTGTCTGGGTTAAGTCTGAGCCTGTTGACCCCCATCCAGATCCTCACAACCTCCAGGCACCGGCACATCACATCTACCACCTCACTGAACTGACAAGGGGTGGAGATATACAGCTGGGTATCATCAGCATATTGCTGATATCTCACCCCGTGTCGTCGGATGATTTCACCCAGTGGTTTCATGTAGATGTTAAATAGGAGGGGAGAGAGGACCGAGCCCTGAGGCACTCTGCAGATGAGGGCCCTAGGGGACGACCTCTGTCCTCCTACCAGCACCGACTGTGATCGACCAGAGAGATAGGAGGTGAACCACTGCAACACGGTGCCTCCCACTCCCAGCTCTCTTAGTCACCCCAGAAGGATACCATGGTCAATGGTATCAAAAGCCTACTTGAGAGGTCAAGTAGCACCAAGATAGAGGAATGATTCAGGCTCACCAGAAATCATCCATCAGCGTGACCAAGGCAGTTTCCGTGCTGTAGCCAGGTCTGAAGCCGGACTGAAAAGGGTCCAGATAATCTGTTTCATCCAATGCTATCTATTCATATTACAAAAAAATAGTAAATCTTCAGTTTTCCTAATGGTAGAACAATGAATTGGTTTCAGACAGACAAAATAATCCCTTGCCTGAAAAAGAAAAATCCCATCATATACCTTCTTTTGGCTAATAGAACACTTTCTTTAATGAAGTGAGTCTTGATCCAACTGATATTAATAATACTTTTCATTAATAATGTAAAGTATTTCCAGATTTAATAGAGTTATGGTCAGGAGTTTCACATAAGAATTATGGATAGCATAACATAAAATATAGCAACCATTTGTGACACACACATATACCTCACATGGCTTTGCTTACTGTATATAGTATCTATGCTTATCCATCCATTCTTGGCCAGAAAAGAAAATGTTTCTACTTTCCTTGTCCCATTCTCCAACTAAAACCTTTGGTTTTCTGCTTCAATATAGGAAGGCTTTTGTAAAAGCACATATCATATGTAAATTTTCAGAGAATAAAATGGTTTATTTTAATTATATTGTACTCTCATAGATTATACATTTTAATAAAATGTAATAAAACTTAAACTTGCTAAAGTTTGTATACAAATGGACATTACCTGTGTCAAAAATTCCTTTGGTTGTCAGATCTCTCCACCTCTGTTGACAGCAATAGATAAAAGGGAATATTTTTATCCTTTTCTTTTCTTTGCTGTTAACCTTGTCTCTTAAGGAATATCTTCTTTCACAAAGATAGACTGTGAGTAGTATAAAACCTGGAAACTTCATGTACTTTTTCTTTTGCTATCTGCAAGTTATTTCTGTCCAATGTTTTTGTCAAAAAGAATTGAACTTTATGTTTTAGTCTGTTTCTCATTTTTATGTAATTAAAATGGCAATTTTAAAAAGTGGCAATAAAAGATTGCACAGAAATGACCCTATGCTCATTTTATCAAAAACAATTTTCTAATAATGTACTGAGATTATTTTCCTAGAGGACTGTGGATAGAACTGCAGTTTCCAGCTTACACACTGTTTTTCATGTGACTCCATTGGGAAAAAATTAAAATAGCATTAAAACCTACATATAAAATACTTTTTATTTCTTCTAGAGTAGAAATAGGATTAATGTCACTAAGAAAAGTCTGCCATACTTGGATTCCACCACTATTTCCAGTAGTGATTTATAAATCAAGGTTGATTGGGACCTCCGTTGGTGACGTCAGCGTGATAGGAACCAAGGGGACAGCGCTCCATTCCCTAGGTCCCAATTTTCGGTCTGAAAGCTGAATTTTTTAGCTCTATTGACCACGAAGAGGTCAATAGATTAAAGAGAAAATCCTGAGGACCTTGGAGGTATCAAAAATTGCCCCGAAGGTTCAAGGAAAGTCCCTTAATTCAGCCCGGAAAAAACCCAACCTTTTGTCGGTTGGCCAGAACGCTGACGGTTGCTTAAGAAAAAGGGAAGCGAGGATCGAGCAAACGGCATCAATAAGAATAACTAATTACTCTTATTCTGAAAACCTTTTAAAGACACAATATTTAAAACAACGGATACATAACTAAAAGAGAAACTTCAAACTGATCGGCAAAGCAGAATTGTTAAGAAGAAATGGAGTGAAAGTATAATGGAGTGAGTTAACGAGGCTAATTGAAGTGTGAGGAGGCGAAACTGACAGGCAACAGAACTGAGGCGATTTTGAGGAAGCGCAAAGGAGAGGTGTGGATTGGAAATAAAACACATAGTTATAGATTTACCAGACAGAAATTGGGAAATAGACAAAAGATTATTCATTTGGGGAAAGGAATACAGATCCAAGTGTTGGACTTATTTTAAAAAAAGAAACGGAGGTGGTGCGGAGACAATAAAGAAGAGATGAAGAAGAAACAGTATCTAGTTTCGGGAGTGACTGTGAGGGATTTAAAAACTTTGTAACGGTGGCAGAGCTTCAGTGAACAGATACTGTAACTATATTAGAGTATTAACTTGCAAATAAATAAAAAACATTGAGGCTCTGGAACAGGTGTTTAAAATATTTTTAGAAGGCAAATTGAAGGACTTTGGAAACAATTACAAACTAGACGACTGAAAAGACACAAAACCAAGTGAGGATTGCAACAACTTCAATTCTGGAACCTAATACAATGAAAGAAAGTTATTTTATTGTTTGAGAGTCCTAATTTATTTGAATTATTTTAATATTTTAAGTACTTTTATCTATTTATTTGTTTATTTATGTAATACTTAATGTTTTAATATAGAAAATAGTATATAATGTTATAGCCCAAATAGCATAAGGTTTAGGATTACTTAAGTTTAAATGTAAAATATATACTTTCTAATATAAGTAAGAAAAGTTGGAATATATAAGTTTTGAATAGATATAATAATATAACACATAGCATATCTGTTTTTTCTTATTTCCTATTCTAATAGTTTTTTATGACACAATTTAATATTAATTTAAGAATTGATATGGTGTTAAAAGAATGAATTGAAAATTGATTATTAATATTGACATATATTGATTTAAATAAGAATAAATATATTAAAATTGATAAAATTTAATAAAGATATAACTAAAGATTTAATAGAACTTAATAGAATTAATAATATATTTAAATAGAATATTTAATTTAGAAACTGAAATATGACTTGCTGAGATATCATATTTTATCCCTGCTTCTCATTTAAATTTAATTAATCTCTCATATAATGATATTATAGTTTGATTTACAGAAATTAGACTGTATTTGAAAACTAAACAAGTGATATTGGCTCTGATAATTATCAGAAGGAAAATCTTACTATATACTACAGACAGTGCGTGAAAATTTGGGAACTATTAAATTAGAAAATTAAGATGACAACTACTGGCTCATCAATAATGACAAAATCAGGTAAAAAGGCAATAGCCAATCAAGCAATGTCTTTACGTCATCAGCACAACAGAAAACAATAGACACAATGTTACTTCCAGAAAAAGAGAAATCTCCTCAATCAATTAACATCAAAAACATTCACTCAGTATTAGCAATGATACAAGAGAGTATGAACAAAACACAGGAATCAATTGCTGATAATCATCAAGAAAGTAGGAAAAACCATGAGGATTTGAAAATGGACATAGGTGAAATTAAGGATAATCTAAAAAAAAATGGATAATAAGATGGAGAAAATTCAACAAAATATTGCTAAAAATGAACAACGGATCCAAAATATTGAAGATAAGATGGGCAAAGTAGAAAAAAAGATAGAAGAGTCAGAATGTGATCAAACAACAATAAACAAAGAACTGGAAGATTCAATTTCATTTTTAGAAATGGAAAAGGCATTATTTTACCTAAGATTTCAAAATATAGTGGAAAACAGAGAGGAATATTTGAGAGATGTAATGGCGGGAATTCTGGCTGAAGCGACATTAAAGAATAAAGAAGAAATTAATAAGGAAATTGATGAAATCTATAGAGTATTGACAAATTACACCCGAAGAAACAAGTTACCAAAAGAGGTTCACATTAGATTTGCAAGGAAGTTGGTGAAAGAGGAAATATACAAAAAAATGAGAGAAAAACCAGTTATATATAAGGGAAAAGAAATAATTACATAAAAACAAATACCAAGAAGAATAAGAGAAACAAGGAAAAATTATAACTTTCTGACAACAGAATTACACAAACATAAAATAATGTTCCGGTGGTTAACACCAGAGGGACTGCTTGTTTCATGGCAAGATAAAAAATATAAACTTGATACACTAGAGAAAGCACAGCAATTTTTTGATAGCAATTTTTTTCCTGAGGAAGAACAAGAATCTGAAACACAGCAAGAAATTGCAAATCAGGAGGACAAACCAAGAAAAATACAGCAAGAAGGAAGAAAAAGAGGGGAGAAAGAAAGATTGGAAAGAGAGGGAGCAAGGGATAAAATACAAATTACAGAAAAAAACACTAGGAAAATAAGAACATCAAGAAAATAGAAATTTGAAATGGAGAAAGATTTAAAATTGATATCGATTAACATTAAATGGACTAAACATTCCATCAAACAGATCACGTATTTTCAGAAATTTACAAAAATTGAAGATAGATGTTATAACATCACAAGAAGTTCATATTAAAAAACAACAGCGCAGTTTATTAGAGAACAAACAATTAGGAAAAATTTATACGGCACTAACAGAACAAAAAAAGAGAGGTATAGCAATGTACATCCAGAATCATATACAATCAAAGCAATTATTTGCAGATAAGGAGGGTAGGACGTTGATGGTTGAAATTGAAACAGAAAAGAAGAAGATATTACTAGTATCACTTTATGCACCAAATGGAACCCAAATTGATTATTTAAAAAAAATGCACAACAAAATTAAGGAACTGGAATACCAAAACATATGCATAATTGGAGATTTTAATGCAATTGTAAACATAGAGAAGGACTATAGCAGTTGTAAACATAATAAATCCAGGAAAAAAAACACTTCCAGAAACATTTTATGATATAGTAGAATAATTTCAATTACAAGATGCCTGGAGGGAACTCAATTATAATAAACAACAATACACATTCTATTCAAATCCACATCAATCGTGGTCCAGAATTGACATGGCTTGGATGACGGCAGAGCTTATAGCAGACATTAAACAAATAGAAATTACAACGAACACATGGGCTGATCATAGCCCCATTGAAATAACATGGAAGGGACACCAAAAGCATAAAAGATGGATGATGGATAGAGATATTATAAATGACAAACAATATGGATATGATCCAAAAAGAATTGAAAATATTTCTACAAATTAATGTTAAAGAGCACACCAGCCTACAAAATCTATGGGACACAACCAAGGCATATATCAGAGGCTTAACAATTGCCTATACTGCACAAAAAAATAAAATCAAACAACAAATAAAACAAAATTTACAGACAATATTACATCAATATGAATTAGATCTACAGAAACAGCCATATAACCAAGAAATTAAGGAGAAAATAAATTTAACAAGGCATAAATTAAATTTGATCACAACAACAG